GGCTGGTCGTGCACAGACACGGAATACACTTGATTTCCGTCGAAACCAGACATCGTTGCAGTAGTAGAGCAGGAAATTTAAGAGGCAATAGACAAAAGTCCATGGCACTGGCAAGAGGCTGGAATACATGATTCAGGGCCGGCCAAGTCGTGTCCAACTTTTCTCGCGACTTGTCTTTCACCTGAGTTATCCTTGCTCCTTTTCACTATGTAGGCTCTCGTCGTTTCGTGAACGCAGATGAAGTACTTCAGGTGTCCATGGCGTCTCCCGACCTATCGCTTTCGGACGGGCCAGTTGGGGCGACACCGATGCATCTGTATCATTACCTAGCAGGCAAGCACCTGCAAGCACGCGACTAGGTTACATATTCTACGCGACAGGTCGCTGCGACAGACTCGGAAGGTAGCCTATCGTCGGTGAAACTCCCTCATGCCTCACTGTTTTGACACGCATAGATACCTCTTGGTGCACTACTCTCCGCCATCAGGGAATTGGCGGAGAAATTTGGAGGCCTCGTAATCCCCTTACGAGCCATTGCGAGAAGTAAAATGTATGAAATTTGCGTAAGGATTGTACATCACATTGCACAAGCTCGTTATCCTGGCTAGACTTTATGGAATTTCGCAAGGTTTTCGATATCCCGCTATTGTTATGGTTTCTGACAATGCTTGCACGCATTATGGCTCCAGATATATTGACCGTCGCCCACAAAAACAGTTAAACCGAGACACCCAGACCCAGGACTTCTTACACGAGCTTACGGTTGAGAAAGGAGAGTTAAAGACATCACATTAGGTAGTAAATAATACAAAGGGGAGTACAACGGCGGCCATACACGAGGGACAAGGCATTGAAACGAGCAGGGACACGACACTGCCGGTTCAAGATAAACGACGGGGTGCCATTGAAGGACAGTCTTGCGGGTATGCGACGGCATATCATCCATCGACGACGCCAACAGGCCGCGCTCGTTGTGCTGAACTGACCGCGTAGGCTAGCAACCGCGCCGGGCATCCTTGCGCGTCGTGGTGATCCCGTTCCCGGTAAACCAGAGTGTCCATTGACGTCCTGGAGCCTTGAAGCCACACCATCAAGCGCGAAAGCCATCCAGGAGGGGGTACTAGTAGCAGCCGCAGCCTGCAGCGCGAGTCCATCGTTGAAGATAGAGCCAGTGCGAGCTTGGAAACACCGGCAAGAGCGTCGCCGCAATTGCAAATCGAGGGGCGTCCAATGGAATCCACGGCTTGCTGTCGTCCTTAAAGGGGCGGGGCACGGGTCAAAGTTCCTCGTTATGCGCGTCGGCTCTCCGTGAGCGAGGTAGGCTCTCGATCCCTGAGGTCCCGAGTTTTCAGTCTTGAAGCCACTGGCCCGGGCGGCGACGACCGCATGGCTTGAAGTTGAGGATTTGAGGTTTTTTGGCGTTGTCGTTCGAAGGAAAACATGGGTACTGGCGGGGGTAGATGGTGGTGACGGTGAGCGTTGGTATCGACCTGGTATCGACATAACGACGAACATATAAAGCTCACTGGCAGCTGAGTTTGTAAATCCACGCTCGGCACAGCGGCAAATGTACGTGGCTAACGAACTGACGAGAAAAAATCCCAAGTCCCGATTGCCCGAAGAGTTTCACGCAGGTGTATGCATTGTGACCATCTCGTATAGCATTGCGATGCCTCGAAATTCTTTTGTAAGTTCGCAATGTCGCCGACAGACTTTCGGGGAGATTGTAAAGGATTAAAATCGAGCAAAATCCATCGCAATGAAATCTCACGCTTGTGGCTGACTTGCGAGGAGTGTTTTATCATACGAGCGACGCGCGGATTCCCTGATGGCCAGAGTAAGTAAATTGCTTGTCAACTCGGTGCGTATGCGGATCAAGGGGTGATTCACCTGATTTCTCTGTAAGCCCTTGCGTATCTTTACACCTTCCCGCCCGTTAGTGAACTTGCAGCAGCAGAGATGGCTCACGCACGAAGGTCCCTGTTCTGTACCGCTTAACGAGCCGGCGCAACGATCGCCTTGACCCTGCAGCACGATACTCCTATAACGTCGACGATCGCATCCCCTTCCAACTCAATTACTAGGCTGTCGTTCTGCGTGTACATGCTGCGACATCAGTCTTTCCTAGACAGACACCACCAGTTACCTCCATACTGTAGCAGCATCGTGCAATGAATGATGTTCAAAATCAATTCAAAATCATGATCAATTTGCGAATGAGCTGTAGCAGTGGCTGTGCACAGGAGTCGGCTGTCCTCGGAAGCCATTCGGAAGTCAAATGTGCCGATTCCACCCAAGTTCCTTCCACATATGTTTCTGTATTTGTGTCACAACGTCCACAGCTCATTCTCAAGTCCAATCCTCGAGCTCGAGCCTTTCAACGTCGACGACAATGTCCGACGCTGAAACCCGCCGTTGCCGCCCCCGCCGCCTCCTTTTGAGGTCTGGACTCAACCGAGGGCAATAGCCGAGCGCGTATTTGATTTAAGCAGCGTTTTAGGCGAGAGGTGTGACAGAAATGTGACGAGGCCCTTATCTGTGCACCAATGGCCTTGCCGCGATAAGTGCCAAAGTGCGACCGATGCCCTCCAACCGCCGTCTCTCTTCACTTCCCCCTCCATGGCCCCGTCCGCGACATCTAAACCATGCGAGAAATACAAGTACGTCGTCACTCCCGCTGGACCCAAAATCCTACCGGTACTCGACCAGGAGAGCAAGGATGAGGAGAGCGCCGCAGAGTATGCGCACGGAGGCTATTTGCCAGTCAAAGTCAACGATACTTTCAAGGATGGCCGCTACACCGTCATACGCAAGCTCGGCTGGGGCCATTTCTCTACCGTATGGCTGGTATTCGACAATAGGTGCGTTGTATGTATCTCTGCAAAATGTTTGTACTGACAGCGCATGCACAGCGAAAAGCGCCATTCCGCCCTCAAGGTCGTCAAATCGGCCGCGCGCTATGCCGAGACAGCGCGCGACGAGATCTCCCTCCTCAACTCCCTCGCACGCGCCAATCCACGCCACCCCGGCCTCACACACGTCGTCTCCTTCCTCGACTCGTTCTCACATCCGTCCCCGCATGCCCCGCTCAAGTCTAAACCTAACGACCCCGCCATGCACGTGTGCATCGTGTTCGAACCACTCGGCGAGAACCTGCTCGCGCTCATCGAACGGCACAAGAAGAAGGGCGTGCCGCCAAGAGTCGTCAAGATTATCGCCCGCCAGGTCCTGCTGGGTCTCCAATACCTCCATGACGAGTGTGAACTCGTACACACCGATATTAAGCCGGAGAACATCAGTAAGTGCTTCGCTTTCTCCCTTTGACATAGTATTCTCATCGTTTGACAGTGATCTCCATCCCTGACGTCGAGGCACACATCGCGTCATCGATACAGGCTGCTCAGCCAACTTCGCGTCGCGTGTCTGTCCCATTACAAGCTACCGCGCGACACGCGCGCCACGTCCATATTTTCGACTCGCAGCCCCTCGCTAGCCCAAAGTCGTCGTCCTCGCTCGAATCGCGCTCGTCCTCAGACTCCGTGTCGACATTCACTCCCGCGAGCGTCGCCGCCAGCACCCCGCCGACCTCCATCGGCAGCTCGATCGCCCTCGCCATGAGCTGTAAGCCTGACGACAAGAGCGCGTTCACAGGCATCGAGGCGGAACTGCAAGCCGCGTTGACGACCTCGTTCAAGGACGCAAGTCCCGGAGGCCCGTCGCTGCTCTCGCAGACCGCGCCCAAAGACCCGCACCGGGCGCCCTCGCCTCCCCGCGCTGCATCGCCCCCACCTCCCCCCTCCGAGCCCTCCGGCCCGCCGCCGCCCATCACGATCAAGATCGCGGACCTCGGCAACGCGACCCCGCGCGCGGCGCACTACACCGAGGACATCCAGACGCGGCAGTACCGCGCGCCCGAGGCGATCGTCGGGCGGCGCGACTGGGACTCGCGCGCGGACGTCTGGTCGCTCGCGTGCGTCGTCTTCGAGCTGCTCACGGCGGAGTACCTCTTCGACCCGCAGGGCCAGGGCGCGCTGTTCACGAAGGACGACGACCACGTCGCGCAGATCATCGAGCTCATGGGCGACTGGCCGCTCGACGCGAAGATGGGCGGGCGCTACAGTCGCGACCTGTTCGACGCCACGGGCGCGCTGCGCTATATACATACGCTCAAGCCGTGGCCGCTGAAGCGCGTGATGATGGAGAAGTACGCGTATGATGAGCAGGCGGCGGAGGCGCTGTGTGCGTTCCTCGAGCCGATGCTTGCGCCGGACCCCCGCAGGCGCGTCGAGGCGCGGGATATGGTTGACCACCCGTGGCTGCGGGACGAGGACGCCGGGGCGGACCTGGAGTGGTGACGCGGCGGACGTGGTGACGATAGATCTAGAGCCGTAGAGCGTCCGTCCGTCCCTTTCTTGTCTGGCCCCCGTGCTTTGCTCGCTGCTGTGCGTCCTGCTTTCTTGTCTTTTTCTTTTGCATTATTTCGCTGGGTATTGCGTTTTCTCCCTCGTCGGTTGTTGCTCGAACTTTCACAAGTCCAAGATGCGTTCTTCCTTCCCTTCTTTACCTTTCGCTCTGAACACATACCCTAGACTTTATTCTTCCGCCCCCTATTGTTTCCGCTCACCCCCATCCCCCCATCCGCCGCTTCACATTATTTACAATTTAGCATCACATTTTTTCGACTCGCTTTGTTGTGCTGTACACCTTCCCCCCTGCATTCCTTGTACACATATCATCATCCGACTGCCATCTGCTAGAGTACTAGTATTGACCCTCCCCGTATGCCTCACTGCCGCCGTATGATCAGCTCCTCCCCTACTACCGCCTGCGATCCCCTGCTGAATACAACTAATTTTTCTCATGCTTCACTTCCGTGTGGGTCTGGTTTTGATTCGAGTCAAGGTGCGAAATTCAAGCAGAAATGGAAGGATAGGTTATGGAGGTTGTCGGTTAGATAGCATCTGGTAATCCTCACCACAATCTAACAACCTTTCCTCCAAGCCCGGCTAGCTCAATCGGATAGAGCGTCAGACTCTTATGAGTGTCGGGTTTCATCAGACCGTCATCTGAAGGCTGCGAGTTCGACCCTCGCGTTGGGCTAATGGAAACAATTTTTTTTGCTTTTGCTTTTCATCCGTTCGACGTCCTCAGGTTACTCTTTTTCCGGTCTGAACCTCACCCCCAGTGAAAATCAGCACGCGTCAGAGCGCGTCTGAGCGGCTCTGGTCGATCGTCCCGATCTGACACGGCCACGCTCTACATTTGTGACTATGACCGATGTGAAATCGGCTCGCGTCGCGTCGTATCGTGCGTCGGCGGACAATAATGATGGCAGTAGATCCTTCTCAGATTCTCAAATTTTACTCGTTTTTCTATCCATACCACCCCACATGCACGAGAATAGGAATATATAGTTTTCATTATGATACTACTATACATGGAGGAACAGGTACTTGACGGCGCTACGAACAATAATAAGAGAACTACTCCTTATACCGATGATCTACACGGTTTCGTAGCTCGGGGAGGAATGCACGGGTCCGGTCCGTCGTCGTCGGAAATACCGCCCAAGGTCGGTAGGGTCGCTGCGCGTGTCGTCGGGGCCGCGTGCGGATACTCTCTGCGCACACCGCAACGTTATCGCCGTTCAAAGTCGCGAGGCTGTCCGCGGGTCCCTGATCTTGCTGTCCCGAAGACCGCCATGCACCTGTCAACGAGTTCACGGTCAGTCATGGCAGAGTACACCAGCTTGCAAGCACTTACATTGTCCATCTCCGAGTCGCGGCGCCGTAGAATTTCTCAGCGACTAGCCCGATGGGACCACTAACACCGACCCCACCCATGCCCACCGCGCTAGCCTACGGACACCACACACCAGCAAGCGTACACCGCGCAAATGTTTGCCTGTGTAGTGCATGTTCCCGCCGCCTTGGTAGGCTACCGGGCCCCGAATCTGCATGGGGCTTATTAAAGCATGGGCGAGGTGTGAGCTGGCGTGGTAGGCATGTGCTCACCGGTGTGCGGGCGTAGGCGTCGAGTTCGTAAACACCTCGAGGTCCCCCATTGAAGATGTGCGCGTGCCGTGGGGGCTAGGCCAGACACGACGGTACGTCCATAGGTTTGTGTCGAGGTGCCGTCAGATATCGGTGAAGACCGACGACAAGGGACGTCTTGGTCCGCACGGAGGAAGAGTTCGCCACCTGGCGACGGTCAGAGAGGTTCCCCTTGATGAAGTGGCCGACAGACGTGTCAGCGACGACGGGAGGACGACACGTAGAATGGGGAGGAAGAGGAAGAGAGAGAGCAAAGTCGGTCGATGTTGACGTGGCCAAAACATTGGATGTCCGACATCCGGGCCGATGGCCATCCTCAAGCATATTTCACGAAAGTTAGAAAAAAAGTGCGGCGTGCATGACGAAAGAAAAAAAGCAGAAGAATTTTACAGAAGTTTACAGTAGTTCTTGGGAGTCGAAAGAAAAATTCGCGTTGTGACTCTTTCTCGTACGACGGGACAAGCTTCTACGACTTCTTTTCCGCTGACGCTCGACTGGACGCGCTGTGACGCGTGCTGATTTTCACTGGGCCTCACCACGTACTGCAGACACACTTGTACTTGTAGCCTACGCGGAAGTAGTAACAAGCAGAAGGATACTCGATGACTTGTCTTGACTGCGACGGGGTTGTGTATATTCTACTTACTGTCTAACTTTGACATTTGTCTGACGGACTGCTTACAGACTTTGGATAGGCATGCGCGCGCCCATGGGCGAAGAAATAAACACAATAGGTCGTTGATAGGTCGAGCAGAATAATTGAATCAATCCCTGCTATCTAGCGACCGACATATTGAGAGGTCCAAATACTCTATTAACCGATAATGACTTTGCCCTCGGCATCGTTGAAGTCGTAAGCGGGGACTTCGAGATTCAGCTTAGAAAAAGATAACGACCCGGGTGAGATTGACGATTCCGAAGAGAAGTGTCATGAGAGGACTTACAGGAGCAGGACCTTTGCGGGCACGGCCAGCTAGAGAAAGGAAACGTGTTAGAACGTAGCGTAGACTGCGCAGCGGAATCACTGACAGATGTCGTAATGCGATCCATGGCAAGGGCAGAACCTGGTAGAGGAAGTGCAGACTCAGTACACGTTCACGGTCATTTCAAACATACGCGTTACGCACCAGCCTCCATAGTCGCCCGCCTCTCCGATAGGTACACATCCCAAATGTGTGCACACGCCGATCATGACGAGCCACTCAGGCCGCTTGACACGGTCCTCATCACTCTGCGGGTCCCGCAAACTCTTCCAGTCAATCGCCTTCGCCTCCTGAATCTCATCTGGCGTCCTGTGACGGATGAACACGGGCTTTCCGCGCCATTTGATGATGACGTTCTTGCCCTCCGGAATGCTGCCCAGCTCGACCTCGACCTTGGCGAGCGCGAGGACATCTGCGGACGCGGACATTGTGGAGAGGAATTCGGTTATCGAGGACTTTGCGACGGAGGCGGAGAGGACGCCGAGCGAGCCGACCATGAAGTAGGAGAGGGCGCGGTTTCCTGGCTCGGATTTCGCCTGGTATGGGGTGAAATCGGGGACCTGAGGAGCGTCCTTTACGACGGCGGAGGTGTGGAGAAGACGGGGCTGGAAATGGGTAGTGGTGCGAGCTGCAACGTAAATTCTCTCAATATACATTGCAAAAGACATTTGATACAGAGATACGAACCGGTGGAAAAGGTTTTCGACACCAGCCCTGCCGACGAGCTTGTCGACACGCCCCCGACCCATTTCGCAGCGACATCCGCGCGAGGCCCATGCGCACCATGGCCATGGTCATCGTGCCCAGCAGGTGCTCGCGCAGCGAGATTTAGCAGCGGTGCGCTGGGGATGCCCGTGGGGAGGACGCGCACGGTCGGCGCTATCGTCACAGCTTTTTTGACAGCTTGGAAGGAGGCCATGGGGGCGGGAGGAGAGAAATAATATGCAGCCAACGACGGCGACGAGGTTGGCGGGAAAGGACGATGATGATTTGGGCGGAGTTCAATTTCCGAGTCTACCCGCGTTCCCGCCCTGCGCCGCACGCGAATAAAAATCATGCTATTGGCCTCAGGTCGGCCTCGTCTAAAATGCACTACATATCGACAAAAAACTAGTATGAAGATCAAGATGTACAATATGTGGTATGTAGCGTCGTAAATTATCGTGAAGGCATGTGCTGCTCCAAGCAGGCCAGAACTCGCTGCTTCGGGTATTTGGGTGCAACAGAATGTCCGTGCGCTTTCGCCCAGCGTCGGATAATGTTTGGATCTGGGGCAAGAGTTCAGAAGGGAGAGATAATGAAACCAGACCATGCAGCTTACAGTCAGTGATGATACCGTCGACCTTCAGGCGCATTAACTCTTCAACGACGCTCAAACGGTTGACCTGGTCGAAAAGTCAAGGACCATTAGAGAAAGAGATTGAATATTCACTCACCGACCAGGGTTTCACGCTTATTCCGAGGCGATGGGCTTCATCTACCATATCTCTGGTAGTGAAAGGCTCATACGCGGGATTTGTTGGATCCATGGAAGACGACTGCGGGTATGTTGCTTCAGGAGAGATAGTATCAACTCCAATCGCATGTGCCGCCTGGGCAAGCCGACTTCCAAGGGTGGACCCAGAAAATGCGTCTAAATCAAGGCCTGCAAACCAAGGCGACGGTCTGTTGCTATCTAATGGAAGTGTGGTATCGCTGTGCAATTATTAGCCCCTGCTTTACAGTGCCGGTGATGACTGGAAACATACTATTCTATAAGGGCAACCATGCTAGTATCGGGATCGAGCTTCTTCATGGCTACCAAAGACCTCCAGTCGAAACTTTCGTACTGCAAGTTCAACCGATCGTTAGTGGAGAGGTAGCCGAAGCTAAGGAGAAAACTACGGACTGTAATCGACCGATGGTACGGGCTGGCCTTGAAAACTTCGTACTGTCTGTCTACAAATTCCTGGACGCTGACGGTGCGGTTTGGATTCCGCGCATCGAGTTTGGACTCGATGTTCCACAGTATCTGGTGTGCAGGGTCTGCACATTCTGCGAAGTCGAACACTTCTTGCAGCGTGGAAATCGGCGTCCCAGGGTAGGTGAGTTGCATCGCTGATATACATAACCAGCCGTATGAGGAAAACGCAGCACACGAATGTCAGGCAAACTTACGGAAGTCATCTTGACGCTTCGATCCACAGTCAAGCGTTTTGACTTGGGCGAGCGTGAGATTGGCGACGAACTTGCCAACGTAGGGGAAGTCTGGGTCATCTGGGAACTGTCCAGATATCGTGGGTCAATGCCGCACATGCGAATGACGTTATAAGCAGTGCTCACAGCGGGAGACGTGTCTTGGCACTTGAAATCTACTATCTCTTCGTCGTGCCAAACGATTACTACACCATCCTACATAGACGTTGATCAGCCTTAACTGTGTCCTGTATAAGTACCGCTACACCAAGACTCACTTTCGTGATGCCATTATCCATCTCTAGCGTTGTCGCGCCATCTATTAAACCCCTGCAACAAAGAATCAGAGCTGTGTGTCAAGTCGGGACGATGGATCTTACCAGGCGAAGCTAGGAAGCGTGTTCTCTACGGTGTTGCCTCTGCCTCCCCGATGAGCCTAGGCACCACGATAAGTTAATTTCAATCTTGGGCACGGGCTTCCTTTATAGTCGAACGCACCTGGACGTCAAAGAAACGGCCATGGGTGGCTCGTGCTGGCCCGAACACAGCCTGTGCAGGAGACGCAAACCCTAGACGCGTCAGGGAAAGCAGTAACGCGAGCTTAACGGCTGTTGCAGTAGTGCAAGCACTCGCTAGCATACCACGGCGGCAGGCCATGCCTCGATGGATATGGGGCGGTGGGAGAAGACACGCTATCGCGCTTTATTACTGCAAAGGCCGTAATAGATCTTCGCTGCGAATGCGCGCCCACGCCAGTCATCATTGGTCGACGATAAGCACTTATCTCGGCGATGCGAACGTTCCTGTCGGGTTGATGAGCTGCTGATTTGACTCCGTACCGTGGAGCTCTCACCTCCGCGACTCTGCTTTCAGAAGCGTTGTCCAATCC